CCATTAATTATTCATACCACAGTATGAAAATTTGGCTTGGGATAAACTATAAAGCCACTGTGCTCTTTTGTCCTATCGTAGAGATCATTTTTGTGTGTAATAGCTTTGGTGCTGTGGATTGCCTGCTGGTTGTATGGTCTAGAGCAACTGATATAACATTTAAGGCCTAGATTTCTTCATCTGCACACTAGATGAACTCCTATCTGAAAGATGCCAGTGTGTGCGACAGCAAAGGGTACGATGCTTTGTTTGAGATCAGGCACGGTCTCAGTTCTTATCTTTAGTGATACTTTAAATCAACCCATTTCTTGTTTCAAACCCATTTTTATATCCAAGTAACATTTTATTTATTTACTTTCCCCCTATGATAAATAAGAAATAAATACTGTTTCTGTCTTGTTCTACAAGTAAGTGTTCTCGAGAATATGAGCAGAGAATAACAAAACAATGCCACCCAATGTTCAATCCAATGTCTGTGCCTGGTCCATCACAGTATGTGTTTATTCTCAGTAGTGTTACACAAGACATTGCTGGCTCAAATAGGAGATGCTTTTGCGATGTCAGAAAGCCTGCAGTTCCTAGGGAGCCTCTTGTCTGGCTTGTCTTTTCTCTTTGCTTCTTTTGGTACTATGTTCCACCCTTGATTTTAACCTTTTTCATTTGGTTCCTTCTCTTGATGCTTTCCTCAGCTATCCTCAGGGCAGCTCTTGACTCCTAGGAGTTCATGCTCCTTTAGAGGCCTTGCTAAACAAGGAGCAGAATTTTCAGGCCGCCACTGCGGCCTCCTCCTCCTCCTCCTCCTCCTCCTCCTCCTCCTTTTTCTTTTCTTTTGGAACAATGGTGGTTTGTTCTTCCACATGAGGCAGTCTGCCCTACAGCAAACATGCTTGCTTCTAGATCTCCTCTCTCTTTGAATAAAATCCTCCCAGAGGCTAATGCTGGTGGGAAAAGTTTTTTTTTCAATTTTTTAAATTTCTTTTTATATGCACCTAGAAAGCATGACTGAGATCTGAGCATCAACCTTTGTTGTATATTTTGTGATTGGGGAAGTAAAACTAAAAAGCATTTCTTTCACTCAAATTGTTCTCACAGATGAGTTTTGTTGACTAAAGGCTTTCTTCCTTATGAGCTTTGCCCTCTCTGAATAAAAGAAGGGTTATATTGATACTGCTTTTTCCTTTTTGATTGCTCTTGAATTTTCTTCTCTCTGATGTGTTTGGTCATCAGACTTCATTAGCAAAGTGTATCAGATAACTATTATCCAAGTCTGTATCTTGTTTAGTCTTCTGTGAAACAATTTTCATCCAATCTTACCTTGTTCAAAAGCCAGCCTTCCCAAGGTAGAAGTTATGAGTGAATATACTTAATTCTGGAGGACATTAATTTTGTCTCAATGGTTTGTATGCCTATCTTCCATAAAGTTTAAGATCCATATACTCTGGGGAAACCACATGTTTCATAATTGCCTGACATACTAGCATCTTTCAATATCAAAAAATAATTTTGACTATGGGATCTGTAAACAATGTAATGATTTTGAGCAAGGAATAATTTGACTTTCGAGGATCACTTAAGCTAATAGCAAACCTTTGAAATGATACACACTTAAGACAAAAATTGAAGGTTGGAATCTAATGAAATCTCTCTATCTCTATCTCTCTCTTTGTCTCTGTCTCTCTCTGTCTCTCTGTCTCTCTCTCTCTCTCTCTTTCTCTCTTTCCCTCTCGCAATGGTTTTACAGAGACAGTGTCTGACTGTGTAGCCCAGACTGGCCTCAAACTTAAAATTGTCCTCTCAGTGCTGGGATTATGGGTGTGCGTCACTACTCAGCCACTACACACATCCAAATGAAATGTTTCTCGAGCTATGTCCTTTTTCTTAGAAATCTGGTAACTTCGTGTTCTTAATTTTTGTTCTCTTGAAGTAGTTGTACAAGGAGATTTCAGTTCATTGTCAGTTTATGAGTACAACACATCTTAATCAGTGTCACCCCTTTCATCATTCTCCCTCTTATCTCAAGCCCTAATTCAAGTTCACACATGTATATTAAGTAGTATGACTGTATTTGCCTACCAATCTGTGTCTCTATATTCAACTATACAAACTAATCTACACATAGGAAAACAAGCCAACACTTGTTTGAGTCACCAAAGTCTGTGGCTCAATGAAAGGCCCTGAGTTCAAAGCCCAGTACTGCCAAAGGAAACAATCCATAGGATACAGGAAGTAGGAGTCTGATTAAAGACATTCACCTTCAAAGGGGGCTTATGAGAGTAAAATTAGTTTCTTTGTCTGGAAAGAAAAGGCCTTAGGACACTTGCCTTTACTAATAGAAAAACAAAATTTTCATTCCTAGAGACATTTATTCATATCTTTGAGGAGCAATGAAGACCTGAAGAATCGCATTCTTCTCTCTCTCTCTCTCTCTCTCTTTCTTTCTCTCTCTTTCATCATATACACATACACACATACATACACACTCACACACATAGCTAACAGGGAGAGAAGAAAGGAAGAAGAAAGAAAAGCAAAGAAAGAATCTCCTCCTGTGTGCATTAGCCTCCCTCTCCCCCCTCCCTCCTTTCCTTTTAGCTTTCTTTGCAAACTTAGACCACACTATTGATTACTGACTATTTATTGCAGAAGATGCTACTCTGTGTTCAATAAATTATGGTTTAATTCCTGAGTCCAACAAATGGTTGACCTGAAAAAGAAGATAAATGAATAGATTGTCCAGAGCTCGTATTAGATTCTACTCTTTATGTCTCACTATATTAGTGTTTTTCAATTCAGTGAGTGAGTTTTCCATTCTTTTCTTCCTTCTTTCAAAAATTATACCTTCCACAGTATTCCTGGATCCAAAAGGCTCAGCTGTCTTCCTTCTGGATTTCAACATTGAAAGGCTTAGCTTGTGATGTATTTATACCTTGGTTGCTGATATTCATAATTTAATACACATTACAGTTTATGACAATCTAGGTAACTAGTGTTCATGAAAATATTTTAACATTCCATGAATTCATATAATCATAAATGGCACTGATATACAGCATATATAGGTAATTATTTCAACACTGATTTTCCACACTGAATTTTTACAGGGTTTAGTTTTCTTTTTGTTATATTATTATTATGTTACTTTTGGAAATATATGGAGTACTCACTGATAGTTTGATGGCTGTATGTGGCCTATAATGGCCAAGTCAGGGTAATTAATATTTCTCTAATATATTTTTAGAATTTTCTACTAAACATGATAGTTATGGTTATACATGTTTGTGAGGTACAGTATATATGTGGTACTTGTACTTATAATCAGAGTTGTTAACACTTGCATGTCTTTGTCAGTTGAAGAGGTTTAGTAATATGCAACTTGATTTTGCATTTGTGAAATCATAAAATTAAGAAAAATTTTATTGTTGGAAATGAACTACACAGGGATTACCAGGCATGACTCTGAAATAATCTCTAAAACCATGTTTTCTTTTGTGGCAAACAGAATTTCTACATTTAGGAAAAAATGAAGTAAATGAATTCTTTCCTAATCACAGTGTAAACTGGCAGAGGTTTTGTTCTTAGTTGAAAATAAATATAAAATAACTATCATCAGTATAGATTCTATTGAATTGTGAAGACAGACTTAATCAGAATTGAAGTGTAGAAATCAAAGGCTTCTTCAGCCAGTTTCTGAGAAAACCCCAAGTAGCTTCCATGAATTCCCAACTAGAGGAATTCATCATGTTTCTCCTTCTGTGGCTTCAGTATGAACCCCACTGCTCCAGGAGGAGAGTCTTTTTTCTATCAAGTTTTTACTTGGAGTCCTTGAAGTGTCCAGGACTTGATTTGCCTCTACATTTCTGAGGGAGGATGTAGCCACGGGGAATAACAAGGAGCTTTGAAGAGGTGAAGCAGAATCACTCTGTTGTTGGAAACTTAGATTGATAAACTCAGAAGTATCATCTTTCCTTAGCTTTTTCTTATCCAATTTATTTTCTCCAAAGGATGTAAAACTTGGATTTGCTCTAACAGGTTCACTCTGTGCAATGAGAAGTCTTCAATGCTTTCCTGGCTCATGTATACCCTACATACATAAAGTGCCTCTTTAGAAACCATGGAGTGAGCACTAATAAGGCTGACAGTATTCAGTAGCGTTAATTTCAGTCTTATTTTTATTCTATGAGTGATCTCAGTGATGCCTAAGTGGTATCCTGGGTACAAGAGTTCCTTTGTTGGTCTATACTTTTCCTTCAGAGTCTCTTAAGCAGGAAATGCAATTGCCTGTATCTTCTTCAAGTTTTGTTAAATGATAATGTTTGTGTATACACACACATAATGATTATCAAAGATATTTCATGGCTTTCTGATTCATTATGGCCACCTTAATTAAGTTTGTTATAACTTTAGCATTACATGAACTGAATTGCATTATGAGACTCTACACTCTTAATTGCTACATATGGGAAATAGAAAGATTTCAAAAATATTCCATTTTCACAAGAATCCCATTTAGACTATTCCAAATAAAACAATTTGATGAATTTAATATTAAAACAAATGTATAAATAATCTAGAGTAAATGTGTTTATTAGGATGCATTTGTTGTTCTGTTAATGATGGCATTTTGCACATTAGGTTTGCCACCTACTTTAAGTTTCTGTTGAACAAAAGGGCTTCCTAAAATTTAATAAATGGAAAATTGAGCTATTTTAGAAAAATGTATGTGGTAAACTCATTATTTCAATGTGTGTTCTTTCAAGAAGAAATCACTGGCTCTTCTGATTCCTACATCTCATAGTAGATCACAGATGTACATCAAGTGTCATTTAAAATGTTTCTACCAACCCACCAATAACTTAATCATCACAGGAGATACAGGATGGATATATATATATATGTATATGAATGAAACTACCAACTAAAAGTGGTTGTGTTTAAGACAAGCAGACAACATGGGCTTTCCAGATTTTATTAGCATAATTGCTTTCTTGTTTTATCTCCAGAATTTTTTCGAGAGTTGCTGGAGAATGCAGAGAAATCCCTAAATGACATGTTTGTCCGGACTTATGGAATGCTGTACATGCAGAATTCAGAAGTGTTCCAAGATCTTTTCACGGAGCTGAAGAGATACTACACTGGGGGCAATGTGAACTTGGAGGAGATGCTCAATGATTTCTGGGCCCGACTCTTGGAACGCATGTTCCAGCTGATAAACCCTCAGTATCACTTCAATGAGGACTATTTGGAATGCGTGAGCAAATACACAGACCAGCTGAAGCCATTTGGGGATGTGCCCCGGAAACTGAAGATCCAGGTCACCCGTGCCTTCATTGCTGCCCGCACCTTTGTCCAGGGCCTGACTGTGGGAAGAGAAGTTGCCAACCGAGTTTCCAAGGTAATTGTTCATCCGTGTACTTTCGAATCCCTCTTCCTCTTTTATTCTGGTTTAATCAAATGTGTAAAAGAAGATAAGGTCAAAATTCTTTCTTACCAATCAGGTGTTCAAGCTCAACTCTTTACCTTTATTTTTTCTTTCTTCTGTGTGTGTGTGTTTGTTTTTCTTTAGGAAATAATGTTATTTATCAGCAACACAGCAGGGTACTTTTCATTAGGAATGGGGTCAAAAGAGCCTGGCTTGCAGACATGATCACTTGAAGTTTTTGATTAAAGCTTTAAGGATGATAGATAGTCATACACAGCTCAAGGATTCTAGTCTTCTGGAGCATCAACGCTTGCAAGTAGTAATATGTTGTTCAGGAGGACAGCAGCTGGTCTTTCTTCTTGACCACTTGTGTCAGAGTGGCCAAGCTCCTTAATTGTGGGAGAAGAACCCTTTGTCCATACTCATAGAATGGGAATAGGAAGGGCTGATGAACCCAAAGCATAGATTCTGGCAGGCAATTCCTTGGGTTCCCTATTATGCTTGTAATTCTATGTCATGTATTGTGGTGGACTTATGAAAAAGGTAAATCACTAATCCGCTATGGGGCCTTTCCTTGAGGATAATGTCTCTAAACCTTTAATGCAGGGGATAGTTCTCAAGGCTGCCATTAAACCTTGAGTATTTCCAATGTGGAGGATATCATCCTTTGTTTAAGTTCTGACTTGACATTTAACTGCTCTTATGAAAAAGGCCTACCCATTTATGAAGTCAGACCTACAAAAAAAACCTAAAGCATGATTATTATAAGAAGCAAAAGAAAAAATACATGAGAGGAATCTGGTATCAGGCCACCTAAAGAAGGTCATATTTATACAAAGATTATTGCCAAACAATACTTTTTTATTATAGGGCTGTGCAAAAGAGCTACAGTGGTTTTCATAACTATTAGCATGACCTTGCTATAATTCTTTTTTTTTCAACTTTCATCTCATTATTTACATCCTGGCCAGAAGACTTGTAATGGACATAACTCCCTAAAATATGTTTCTCTATGGCATGATTTGTAAAATTCATAGTAATCCTTTTTAAAATGATCAGTTCCTAAAAAATTTAAGCATATGGAAAGGTTATTTTCAAAAGGCTTTAAAAATTCTTTTTGAAAGAAATTTATTGATGTGAGGGCATATAATGTGATGTTTAATAAATTTCCTTATTGGATATCAATAGTTTTACATACCAAAGACACTAGGACCTCAAAAGTGAATTAACAGCAAAGTAGTTCAGGGAAATAACAATAGAAAATATAACTTGAGAGTAGGCTGTACAAGTATAAAAAGTAAACATTTTATATTTTCTTGAGCAGATATATTTTGTAGTTCTCTATACATATAAATTAATAAACCGAAAGCCACGCAAGTTTCTGATTAAAGCTTTTGCTCTTGTTAAAGAAAAAACATGAAGCTAGCTCTTTAGAAATGGCAGGGAGGAAGGAATTTAAAGCATAGAATACCATATGCTGTAGTTTCTGCTTATGTGCATACAGCATGACCTGAGAGGTTCCAGTGAAAAGGAAATATACATTTTCTAGAAATGTCTAAAAGCTGCAGGGAACACTGGCATTCACCATTCCTCCTGTGTCTTGGGAGATGGCATTAACAGCTGCCTACAGATGGCTTCTCCTTGGTCTTCATAGATTGGCTGACTCTGTGATCTTTGTTTACCAAACTCCAACAAGATTTCTTCAGGGTCAAGGTTGAGCTTGTGTGATACAGTAGAGTATCACTTGTAATATTTTCCCCAAAAATGATGGGGTTGTAGTTGGCAGCAACATATTCTTTTCTCTGAACCTTTTATTTGCCAATCATCACCTCTAGGTATAGGATACAATCTGTGAGTCATATGCCTTATATGTCTACCATTTTATAAGCATGTTATCTTGGTCAATCTGAGTTGTCTTAATCACTTAAACTCATGAATCTTGTTTTCATACCTGGGCTCTTCATTTTGAAGAGAGACAAGTAATAGGTAGATAGATAGATAGATAGATAGATAGATAGATAGATAGATAGATGGAACAAGGGAAAGAAGAGAAGGAGGGAAGAAGGAAGGAAGGTAATAGAGACATTGGATTAAAAGAAGCTAAACATAAAAAAATATAAATTCAATTATTTCAATATTTTACCCAGACCTTTTCTTACCTAGTAATTTCCAGATAGTCTATAGCTAGGCGAACCAGAAGTTAATCTACTTACATTACGTTGACTTTATCATATTGGGAATTCACTCAGGAGATACAGAGAAGCCACATTTTGAGAGGTTGGATGGGGAGTCTTCCTTAGAGAGCTGGCAACTTCAAGCAGACACATGTCCCAGAAAAACCTTCAATGCACTTGATACTGTTATGAAACTGAGCCATGAGGGTAGTAGAATAAAGAAAGAGCTGAAAAACAACCTCAAAAACCCAGGTCAACTGTAATGGAGAGTTGAAGGGGGGTACCATGGTTGTAAGAGTCATCAAAAGGAGACTACACGTGGTTCAGGCAGAGAAGAATTTATTGGGACAGATAAACAAAAAAACTGCCTCCCAGCACCAGATGTAGGTTTGCTGAGGTGGAGAGATTATATGGGGACAGGCAGGGAGGAGGTGTCACCACAGCTGGTGAGGGAATAACGTCAGGCCTGGGGAACCTCTCACTGTCTAAAGGAGGTGTGACTGGGGAGGTTCAGGAAGTGACCTCAAAGGATGAGGAAGTGACCTCAGAGCCTGGGGTTCTTTGCTGACTCCCAGTCAGGTGATTGACAGTCACAAGTGATTACTCCTTTGGGGCAGGTGGTTTCTGGTAAGGCTACAGTGCTGTCCCTCACTTAAGGTGGGGGATGGAGGCTATTCTCCCAGGCAGACCTAACAATGGTGAGCTGAGGAGACTCAGGAGATGAGCATCGCTCAAGGGCAGCTGAAGTGGTGAGGCCTAAATAGGACCACAGTCAGGAGGCAGGGTTGGTGAGCTCAAGTGTTCAAAGGGTCTAGCAAGTTCATGGTACCGGTCAGGCAGGCTCAGGAACCTACTGTCCCAATCTCTGCCCCTACAGCTAGGAATTCTAGCTTGCCAATCACCCGGGGGTTGGCTTGGGAATTCACCTCTAAGTTTTTGGAAAGTCTCCATCATCCACGAAGTTTCCAAGATGACACCGGTTAGACCCAGTATCCATATTTCAATCCCAAGTACTTTTTGTAGCAAGAATAAGATGTTACGTATGTAGACTGAATGTAATAAGAAGTATGTGGAAGAATGAACTTTGTTTGAAGCTTAAGGTGTTTAGCAATGAAAAGCACCCTTGTACTCTGTGGAGTGATTTACTGTTGGTGCAGGCACAGGAGGGAAGGAATTCAAAGCAAAATTAAAGATCAACAAATTTGCTTTGTACTTCCATCACATTTGGGGAATTTTGTTCCCTTCAGTTTTTCTCTTATTTACAGCGACTACTTAAATCTTTGAAGGCATCATTAATAGCTTGTAATTAATTGTTTTGACTGGAAGATTTACCTCTTTGGCAAAACACAGCCGTCTGATACAAATGTTTTGACATAACGTAATAGGGAACTTCCTTATAAGAAAAATAGATGACTCGTTTGTCAGTCTTGACGGAATCATTCATAAGTCTCAACAGAATTATCAGTTACTGCTTGTGCTTGCCATTTTATGCATACAAACTACGTGTTTTTCCCCATTATTGAAAGGAACAAATTCACCATAAGCTCTGATTGAGGAAGTGCTATGTGATTCTGGGGTGAATAGCCATGAACAGGAAAACAGGATTTGTTTGTTGTATAAAATACCATTCTGAGCATGCCCAAGTGTTAGCAAGAAGTAGAGTATCAGGAACTTTCATCCTATGCTAGTGAAAGTGTAAACGGGGGGGGGGGTGATTTGAATGATTTGAAAAATTCTTCTATTCTTGAACATATGCATATGTTAAAACGACAGTTCCTCTTCTGGAGAGACTGTTTAGGTGTATAGGTAGGCATGTCGAAGAATGTTCATAACAAAGTCCTTAGCACTGACAAAAAAAATAAGAATATCACAGATATCTTATGTGTTCATCACTGGTGATCTAAATACAGTGAAATCTCATGAAGCATAAGCAGAAAGTAAACAACTGCACTCCATGGATGAACACAGGAGTCTTACTTTGAGAGAAAGAGAGAGAGAACGCCAAACACCAAAGATGACATTCTACTTACGTAAAGTTCAAAATTACTGAAGTACATATTATTTTATTTAGGAGAAAAATATACATTGTAAAGTTCTGAAGACAATTTATAGAATGACTGACACAATCATCAGATATTACTACCTCTGGGAATGATATGTGGATGATCAAGCAGATATGCTTAGGGGTTTCCAAAGGTATCATTCGCATGCTAGTCTTAATCCACCTGAGGCTGGGTGGGTAAAGCTATGTACATGTATATCACAGAAATTAGCGTTTTCAGAGAAAGTATTTATCACTGTTCACCTCAGATTCTTTTCAACCTGAATAGCTGTGGTCAAGATTCTGAACTGCTTTTATTTATTTATAGAACTTACTGTTATCTTTGATTTGCTAAAAAATTAAACTTCATGTGCTATAATGTTCTAAATGATGTTGGCTGTACATGGAAGGCAAAGATCTAAAATGAACATAAAAGCAAACTTTGATAATTTTGTAGCCTTAGAACAATGCAGGTCAACTACTTTTAATCACTTATTTTATTCAAACATGGTTCTTATCTTTTTTTATCCTTTGTACCATTAGTGTGTATAAACATCTACCAGGGACCTCAATGATGGCTTTTTAGGCAGTGTGAGGAGCAGAGAGAGAGACATTAAACCACTCAAATCATTCTGCATTGAGGCAAGCAAATGTGGAAATGCGTCTCGGGTGTCTTTTGGGTCTATCATGATATCATGTCCATGAAGAACACATGGCCTTTTATCTCTTTTTGCTTTAATGAAGTAACTTCTAGGAGC